TGGCCAGCTTAAACCCTGACATCAACAGTGGAGTTGTATACTTAGCCCTGGGTTCGTTTTAGAACGTTTTCTCATGGCTATCAACAACTACACTCTCTAACACTCTAAGTCTAAGCCTCATAAAAATGCTTGGTTTATGGTTTAAAACACCGTCCACAAAGTCTCGCTGATGTGTGGAAAGCGCTTCGGTCATTGGATCACATATGAAACACGTACTAAGCTGGGAGAATTTCATAATATTGCAGCTAGTTATCGCAGTATGTGTTCCAACCTAACCGGTAGGCCTGCCATCTTGAGTGGGGAGAGTTAACCGTAGGTAAATTGCCTTTCCCACGCACACAACCAAAATGCATAACGACGCAGTCTTAATTATGGACTAAACCTGCTATATACAAGGTTCCCAAATAAGGTATTTTATTGGAGGAAGACCTGAGTCCTCACGTTTTATAGGTTAAAAAGTTGAATAATACCTGGGAGTTGGTGATGAGAAGAATAGCACCACCAGTTGCTAATAGATACAAAGCCATAAATGACAAATATGATGTCGCTGGACCGCTGAATGCAAACAATAGGCATGCTAGCAGAATGAATATACTGCACAAAAAAATAAGAAATATAGAATTCAGTTTTGAGCATGGGCATAACATAGGCCTATTGGCTATCATTTAATCAACTATGATACTGTCCCTTATTTATTTCCTGAATGACGTATTGTATCATCAATGTTTTATCGTATACTCTTTGATTATCATCATCATCATAATGTTCAACTCTTACCTGCTGAATATTCGTGATAATCTTATTCCAAACTTGTCATACACTAATCCAAATATAAGTGCACTAGTATTCAACCCAAATGCCCCGATGATGAAAACAAGTTGGAGACGCGCATCTTGCTCAGCGCATGTCGGATAACCATGGACGCCATATTCTACCCGGTCATTAAGTGTTTGTGTATGGTTCAGACATTGGTCACTGAAATATCCCCTGTCCCGCAGGACGTAGACCAATGATGGCCATCCGTACGTAGGTCCTCCTAAAATGAGGCACTCAGTAAATGTACTGACTAATATTACTTTCTTGTTCACACTTATGCCCAAGTTCATAATGTATCTGAAAAAAAAAACACACAGCAACTTGAAGATAGTATAGTGTATACAATATTTGATGTCGATTATCAATTTTTATAACATGGTCATAATTATCAGAGTACAGAGATATCTCGAACAAATGAAATATGATTCGCCTATAAAAATCAGACAATGTATCAAATTTTACAATTTACATATCCCGTTTTCATTCATGATGCCATTTTTATTTGAATTTAGTTCCTCGATTATTTCGACAACTAGCATAATACCCCTACACCAACTTCTCTGTTGGGCACAACAGGGGTTAAAAGCTAAAGTTAATCCTTCAATTATGGAAATATGCTAATTATAACAATCTTTAAAATGATCTTTCATTGAATTCAGTTGTAAAATCTGATACAGACAGGAAAGATTGTAATGTGTAGGCCTAATGTCGTACCGGAGAGGATCGAAGTCAAATTATGTTCCGTAGACTTTATGCAGTTTCTTGTTATCCTTTATTCAAATCACTAACCAAGTGTAAAATCATAATAAAGAGATTTAAAATGCTTGCTTGCTTGATGTTTTTGGGTCGGTTGGTAAGCTGTATGCGTATATGTATGGAAGCTTACAAGTAGTGCCAACCAGATATCTAGATAATCATAATCCTATAAAAAAAGATTATCTTTACTTATGAATTAACATTGCGGTCGAAACGTGGGGGACCAATCCTCTTTAAAATATGTGGGGGGAAGTGTCCCCAGCCCCCCATGATCTGCGCCCATGGTGGCTATATCAACTGGGGAAACAGATCGTAAAGCAATATAAACACTTTCTTCCGGACCAGGTCCTCGAATGCCACTGGTATCCTCCAGCCAAAATATTCTGATTTTTTAAAAATAAGTTTTAAATATCCATTAAAATGACTAAAAGGGCTATAATTAAATGTAAGTCATGATGTTTAATTAAAGCCAGTGCACCACGTCATGCATTCTACAGAATTATCGCCGTTGTTGGATTAAACCATGGTGCACAAACTCCGTCGCGTCCACTCTGGGGAGGTATTCCGTTGTCGTAGTAACTCACCGGCACTCGGACAGCGCAGGCCAGCTTCGGAGTTTACCACCATCTTTCGATTGGAAAATTAAACTTTCATCACATGATTCCATTATCATGTTTTTTAATAATAAAAAAATCACTCTTACCTTACTTAAAAGTAGGCCTATACCCAAGCATGGAGGAATAAACCCAAGTAACATCAGTATGTCTTTATACAATTAGGCCGGGGGCTATAAGAAGATTGAAACACACACAATTGCATGCGTTTTATTGATTTGCAGACATCCAGATCCGGGACTAACAAATGGATTAATTGCTTCTTTATCACTTGGTTCATCTACATACGTTATTTATACTGGTTTCAAATTGCTTTTATGATCTAGTTTAAGTGACAAAATGATGCTTGTATATCGTTAGTAATATTATTTAATTTGCCAAGGCAGTTCCCGTACAGTGTTGCAGTATCCCATCGGCGCAGTTGGTTCATGCACACAATATATGTAAACTTGATGTCGGGGCAAAATAAATA